ATTTAATTACAGAAGAAGTTTTAAAATACTCTTGTTTACTGCCTCATTCAAGTCTGCTTAGCCCTTCCTTGGTGTTGCGCAGGCTATTGATAAAGTATAACATGACGGCTAAACAGAGGGTCGACGAGAGGGAGGGGTAGCCGAGACAAATTCCTGGAGCCCGGGTTCAAGTGGGGGCCCGGCAGCGGCATAATGGGGACACGGCAGTTTTAGGTGACGAAGTTTTTTATTTTTTGTAGAAGTTCGCCACAAGAGCACAAGAGAGAGGACCTTTTTTTTAGATATTGCACTAAAGAGGAGGAGAAGTTTTTGCTTGAAGACCTTTTTTTGTTTTTTCTTTATAAATTTGATATTGAAAGGGTTTAATTTTTTTATAAAATTGTTGCCCGACCCGACCTGGAAAATTGTCTTGAGGCCCGACCCGGTCTCGGCACCCCTGTCTAAACATAAATTGAATGTGTTACTTCCACGGCCATACTCAGAGCTATTGGATTCATACATTTCAGATAGATTCTGGGTAAAACAAGATGAAGTATGCTCTGAATTGAAAGAAATCAAAGTAGGAATACCACAGGGGAGCGTCCTGAGACCCATTTTGTATCTGATATACAGGGTGTACCAATAAAAACTCCCAGGTCTGATATTTTGGTAAGTAATAGAGATATTTTAATTCTGTAAAAGGCAGTTCATAGAGCGCTAAGAGAGCTTCAGTTTTAGATATAAACTAATTTTAAATAGGTAGATGGCGCTGCGCTCAATAACTTTTTTTCGATGGGAGAATCTTTCTTGTGAAGCGCATCTAGTAAATAATGCATTTTTAAGCAGATTTTGTTCTATGAACTAATTCGATAAATATAGCCATTTTTGATATACAGAGTGGGACACTCAAAACAGTTTAATCTTGTTTTTCGACATTAATAATAATTGGATTTTTAGAAAATGCTAAAATAGGTCGATTTTTATTCCAAATTGAACACATTTTTACAATACAGACATTTGTCAGGTGTCAACCCCCTTCTTTCCACTCCTCCATCCCCTTAATTTTAAATTAGGAATGTACCATGTACGGCACATCATTAAAAGGGTAATTTTATTGGAAAGTCAGAAATATGACTGTTTATTGCGATACTTTTAATTTTAGCGCCCTCGGGATAAAAAAAGCCTGTAACGTGTTATAAAATGTAACACTTCATTTGAAAGCTAATTAGATTAATAATGCAATGCACTACATAACATAAATATAAATATTTCCATATTGCACTTGCAACAAAATAAAGTTAGCAATAATGTTTAATATAATGCATGACGTATTTTTAAACTATTGCAAGTGCATTGAATTAGTAATTAAATAAGGTGTCATACTTTATAATCCGTACAGTTTTTTTATTCCGATAGAGGGCGGCACAATTAAAAGTATGGCAATGAACAGCCATATTTCTAAATTCCCCATAAAATTACCTTTTTAATGATGTACGACACCTTGTAGTGTTACACTATAATACGTAGTAGTTTTTTATCCCGCTAGAGGGCGATACAATTTAAGTAACGGAATGTACAGAAATATTTCTAAATCCCCCATTAAATTACCTTTTCAATGATGTGCCATACATGGTACATTACCTATTTAAAATTAAGGTGTTGGAAAAAAGCAAGAGAGGGGGTTGACACATGACAGATGTCTGTATTGTAAAAATGTTTCTAATTTGGAATAAAAATCAACCTGTTTTAGTATTTTCTTAAAATCCAATGATTAATGCTGAAAAACAGGATGAGTGACCCACTCTGTATATCAAAAATGGCTAGATTTATCGAATTAGTTCATAGAACAAAATCTGCTTAAAAATGTATTTTTTACTAGATGCGCTACACAAGAAAGATCCTGCCATCGAAAAAAAATTATTGAGCGCAGCGCCATCTACATATTGACTTATTTAAAATTAGTTTATATCTAAAACTGAAGCTCTCTTAGCGCTCTACGAACTGGCTCTAACAGAATTAAAACATCTCTATTACTTACCAAAATATCCGACCTGGGAGTTTTTATTGGTACACCCTGTATATTTGTGACATACCCCAAAACAAGACACAATAGCTATATTTTTAGATGATATTGCCATCCTAGGCTGAGATCATGAAGAGGCTGCAAATAAACTACAAACGTCAGTATATCAAATAAATAATTGGATCAAAAGTTTTAAACTAAACGAAACCAAATCTTAATATTAATTTTACTAACAAAAATTGTCAACAAATACCAGTTAACATAATTCTCAGATCCCTTATGCTAACCAAAATATCTAGGTATTACATTAAATGTAAGACTTCTTCTACAATGTCCATGTTAAAAGGAAGATCTAAATATAGAATTAAAGAGAATGTACTGGTTAATTGGTAGGCATTCCAGAATATCTACATAAACAAAATTCTGTTGTATAAACAAGTCCTCAAACTAGTTTGAACTTATTAAATTCAGCTCTGGGGCTGTGACAGCAGCAACAGTAATATCCTAAAATTACTTGACAAAGTATTGATGAACATTGTCAATGCTGTACATTAAAAAAACAGCGACCTCCATCGAGAGCTTCAGATGAACACTCTTGGCCAGACTATCGCCAGATTTGCTAGTAAATTTTTTCACTATTTTTTGCAAGATCGCTTTTTTTAATAATAATTTTACCCACATACAATATATAACAAAATTCAATGGCTTTGAGGCAAATACAAATCGGATTATACTGTGGTCTAATAACAACTATCGATATCTTAAATCGCCTCACACATGAAACGCAACCGTCTGCAAAGTGCACAACATAACAGCAATCCAGCGTCAAGCAGCAGTAGTCAGTAACGGCCAGAGCAGTAGTTGGCAGCAAATAATGTAATGACCTACATTCCGTCGGTAACTTCATGATTCGAACTTGATCTTTGCATTCCAGATGCAACGCAAAGATATAAATAACTGACACAGTGCCGTGGCCAGAATATTTTATTAATAAATGCGTTTAGAAACGTGTAGTAGAAGTGTAATGGTGTCTTGTCGGTACTGGCCTACGGGGAGCGCTTTTGCGGTTTGTTTATCAACGAGCGTAGATCAAAGCGAGTAGAGATGGGTTGCTTTTTAGTAAACTGCTATTTGACAACTGTTATTTGAACTAAGCAGCTTTCAACTGCTATCGGCTATTACAAATCGCTGCTTTTTAAATAGCAGTTTACCATTTTCACTAATATTCTGATACGACAATCTTTCTGACTGTGTTGTGACTGGATGGTGTGCGTGGCGTGACGCGACGATGGCAATGGCAAGTTGCTGCGAATGTCGTATTTTATACGTACACAACGTATGTTTATGTTTTTCTGTACAATACCAGTTATGATTAGACGAAAAATGGATTGGATTGTCGTCGATTTTCGGCGTACGACAAAGAATATTTGAATAGGAATAATTAAATTACTTAATATCGTAACAAAATCAGGAACATTGATGGGTATCGAATGGGTTATTTTTTATGTAAAAATTAAAATAGAATTGATGATTTTTATGAGGATAACTAGCATATTATATGCATATTAGACCATCAGAGGGGCTATTTTCAAAGTATGGGAGCACTCATTTTTCTCAAGATTCTCATCAGAAATGTCATATGTCAATGTGAAAACGCTGTTTTTAAAGGCCTCGAGGATTAACATTCTTGAGGAGAATTTTAATTATCTCTAAATAAACACAGAGAAATAGTCAGTGAGTTCACACCAATGAACTGGAGGGGGGTAGAATGCCAATGTACATGTTGTACTATTAGAACAAGGTGCGACTCGATGGGCGCAGCCATTTTTATTGTTCATCTCACTCGGGACTATTTATAATAACCATTTTCTGTTTCACATTGTTATTGTTCAATTCACAAGCTGGTGGATCAGACAATAACAAAGTGAAATAGAAAATGGTTGTTATAAATACTCCCGAGTGAGATGAAAAATAACCTATCTTCGCCCATAGAGTCGCACATCAAGCCTATTGACAAGCATTCTACCCCACTCCAGTTCTTTGGTTCACACTGGTCCTAAAAATACTATTTTACGTTGACGTATGACATTTCTCTTGAGAGAAATGAAATCTCTCAAGTTTGAAAATAGCCCTCCAGATAGTGACAGGTTTAGGTGCCCCATTTTCGCATACAAGTCTGGAAGAGGGTTGAAAAGTACATCGATTTTAAATAGAATGAAAGTAAATTTACGAGGATGGTCCTCCTGGAGATAACACATGGAAAATTCGATTTTCCCCTACAAAAAGGTTACTTGTTGTCCATATTTACACGCAAGCCATTTTCACTATATTAGTAATTAATTCATAGAACTAGGCTTCGGAAAACCAAAGGCTTTAATATTGCAAGTGGCTAAAGGGTTGAAATAAGGGCGTAATATTCTAAGGAAAATCAAGATTTTGCCAGATTTTTCCACACAAGCTCATTGAATGTATGAAAACGTACATCGTCACAAGTCCGAAAAATATATTTTCTTAAATGACCTGAATGTATATATAAGTACATTTTGGGATCGGGAAATTTTTCTGATAAGGAAAATCGAATTTTCCGTGTGTTATCCCCAAGAGCCACTCATAAATTTTCTTTTATTCTACTCAACATCGATGTACCTTTCAATTCTCTTAGAGGCTTCTATGCGAAACTGGGGCACCTAAATCGTTCACTATCTGACGATCTATATAGTTTTTAGGAGCAACGAGTTGTTATTATAAAAGGAGAAATTAAACTACCAGATTTTCGTATTTTCAGTAAATGGCTCATAGCCGGTATAATAGAACTGAATTATAGAACAAAAAGAAATAAATATTGTTTTTTACTTATATATCTTTTAAAACGCTAAAACAGAAAACAAATAATAAAACATATAAGGTACAACAGGTACATATTTTTCAGATATTTAAAAATTAAAAGAACAACTTTAAATGACACAAATTGCAATAACAAGCAGACTAACGAAATAAGTTACGCATTATTTTTAATAAACATTACTTGTTTCACTTTATCAACTGATAATCGGTTTCGTCTTTCAGATAATATCTGACCGGTTTTTGAAAAAAGTCTCTCACAAGGCACAGATGTAGAAACAGTTCCAAATTTTTGACGAACAATTTTACTTAGGTTTGGAAAATTATATTTATTGATTTTCCACCAATTTAATGGATCGCATTCGCGATTTAAGAGAGGCTCTTCCAGAAATCTTTGAATTTCTATTATGGCCTTTGAACGGCTGTTACCACCAACAGGTTTAAACAAGGAAGCTTGGTGATCGAAATCACTCCAAATTGAAAATTCATCAGGTACAACATCAGTTTGTTGCTGGGACTGAGAACCTGAAACGGTGGTTTCTTGACTGTGCCTTTCTATAAAACTAGTTAATAAATTTGTTACTAAAGTTTTTGCCTTTTCGCTAACATGCTCGCTAGAGAAGCCGATATTTTTAAACCGGGGGTCCAAAAATGTTGAAACCATCAAGGTAGAACTCATTTCTAAATTTTTTAACCTATGTTGAATACTTTTGAATATGTTCACCACTACAGTTTTTGTTTTATCAGAGAGTTCAACTGTGGAAAGTTCTATCTTGCTAACTAGCCGACTATATATTTTTTCTAAACCATTGCTTATAATTATTACCGATGATAGAGTCACATATTTTTCACCGCTCATTAATTTAGTTGCAGATTCCAATGGTTTTAGAATATTTACAAGTTGGCTAAGGTCTTCAAAATCGTTATTTGTCAACAGGTGTAAGTTTTCATGTCCTAGTACTGCAAGAGAAGCCCTTACTTCTTCTTTAAGCTCCAAAATTCTCTCTAACATATAAAAGACAGAGTTCCAACGTGTCGGAACGGATTGAATTAGTTTTTTGGGTGATTTGTTGTTTTGTTTTTGAAATGAATCAAGTCTCTCTTTAGCTAAATTGCTGCGCTTAAAAAAACTAACAATATTTTTTACTTTCTCTATTAAATCTTCGATTGATTTTAACCCATCTTGTGCTATCAAGTTTATAGTGTGTGCTAGACAACCAAAATGTTTCCATTTCAGTTCCTCCAAAATTGCTTTTTTAATATTCGCAGCGTTGTCTGATATGGCTAGCAAAATCTTATCTTGTACACCCCATTCAGTAACAATACTTCGCAATTCTCTTGCCAAATTAGCGCTGGTGTGTGCTCCTTCAAATACAGAAACTTCCAGCAGTAAAGATTTAATTTCAAAATGGGTATTAATAAAATGGGCAGTAACCCCATTAAAACTATCACCATTTCTGGAAGTCCACATATCCGTCGTAATCGTAACAGATTCGGCTGCTGATATAATTTCTTTGGTCTTATTAATGGTTTCTAAATATTTTGCGGGCAATAATGTTTTTGATAGGGTTTTTCGACTGGGCAAGCAGTAAGATGGATTAAGCTCATGACAAAATTCTCTGAATCCGATATCTTCGACTATGGAAAATGGTTGAATGTCCTTCACAACCAATTGCAACAATTTGTCATCAATATTTTTTTTTGATTGTAGTCCCAGCTTTCTGGGTACTTGCAATTGTTGTTGACGAAGTACTGATTTTGTTTTTAATGGTACAGCAGATAATGTAGATGACGTTTCAGAAGTTGATGGGCCTGGTTCTATATCTTGGGCTGTGTCTGTTGGGTTTGAAATAAATCTGTTTTTTTCTGAATCTGTAAATTTTGCATTTTTTTCGAAATCAGTTTCTACATCTAAACTTTTACTTGGCACTGAACTTTGAGTTGGGTCCTGAATTCTTACTGATGGATGTTTTTTCATGATATGTTGCCGCAAATTAGTAATTGATGATTTGTATGATAGAATCTGGCTACAAAAGTTGCACTTGGCTAGTGTCTCACTTTTAACTGTAAAAAAGTTCCAAATAACTGATGTTTTTCGTTTAGAAATCATATTAATAATTATTATGTATTTAGCCAGGTAACACTAAAACTCATCAATGGAACTAATAAAACATATATACGCATGAAAAGAAAAGTTACATTTAAAAACTTCCCTAAATAAAACTATGCGTTCTTTTCTATTTTTGAAAAATTTACCCAAAATAGTTTTATACTAAGTATCAGTGCCGGATTTAGATATATGGTAGCATTATTAGGGCGTCAAAGAATCGAGGTTTCTTATTCGGAGGCCTTTTATTATTTATTTAAAAAAACATTAAATCCGAAAATATTACATGATTTATTTTTATAGAAAACGTGCATAAAGTGAACTGAATAGTCTACATTGAATACTTTTACTTAATGTGAATACTTCTGTTAATTTATTAAACTCCACATTCATACCTAATTTTTTCAAATTAATAATATCAGTATTATATGTATCTATTAGGCAGAGTTTCATTTACTTTAAGTGAAAATTTTCTAGTAAAACCTTTGATTTCTTACTTAGAAATTTTTAGCACCTATTTTTTTTAATAGATACATCCTAAACTTATTTGCGGTAAGCTAAAGATCCCTGAGGCACCATAGAACAATAATTGTTCCTTTTTTACTAATGTTAATCCGGCACCGTCTACAATACTACTACAACACATAAGTTTCCATTACTTTTTATGTGTACTACTTACAAATCTGCGAAATTTCTAAATGTAACTATTTGAATATTTCTGCAATCACCAGTTCATTACCAATAATTATCTAATTGCTGAAAATTATTATTAAATAAACAAATCACATATTTAAACTTTACGTTAGTAAAAAATGCTTACTTATAGTTACAATGACTTTAAAAAAATAGGGTACTGTGTCCTCTTACAAATATTTTTAGCAAATAAATTTGTTTTAAGAAAATAACGCACAACACAAAACTTACATCAGAGAGGAAAAGTTATCACGCGATTTTACTCTAAACCACTAAAAGACGTATCTAACCCTACACTGCGATGCGATGGCATATAAAATAAAGACTAATTTGTTAATTGTTTACCAGCCCCGTTGTCGTCGATTTATTCTGACAATTTGGGGAACCACCGAAACCGGTTGGTATTTAAGTCGACATTATAAAACAGCTTAGCAGATTTGAGCGCAATCATCGATCGACTAGTAAATAATGAAATACCGATAAATACTTAAGCAGAGCAGTCGAACTAGATGTTGCGATGATTTAATAAACTGCTATTAAAAAGCAGCTATTTGAAAGCTGCTTTTTAGAAAAAGCAGTTACTGTTATAACTGTTATTTAAAAATAGCAGTTTTGCCCATCCCTAAAAGCGAGCTGGGTCTTTGCCTTTGTTATGATTACACTGCGAAAATGAAACTAGAAATATCAAAGGTTTTTGCTCTATCAAGAGCGTGCATTGACTTTTATTGCTATTAGAGAAACAATAGTTATTAGATTATTTTGAATAGCTACTAGGGAAGACTTTTTTTATAGATATAAATTGAGAAAGTGACAAAAATCAAATATAATGAGTTCTACGGGTAAAAAACTAAATTAAACTTGTATTGTAGATTATGTAGATGTGGCCACTAGTATTTTAATTTATTTTATTTGCAATTTGTTTAACTATAAACAAAAAAGTGCTTAAGTAACTGTTCTGCATCATCTTGTAACCAAGATAGAGATAGAACTCAGTAACCAAGAAATAGTCCGAGGGGTATTTACTGGCATAGAAGGAGCTTTTGATAACACTTTCTTTAAATCATCGGTAGATGCTGCTAGAAAACACCATCTGCTGGTGGATAGAAGACATGTTACACGGACGGCAAGTACAGGCACAAATGCAAAAAGCTGACAGAAATGTGGTATGTTAGGAAAACCCTCTTGGTTAAACGCTGACAAGGCACAACTCTTAACCTTTAATAAGGTTTTAGGTGTTAGAAACTGTGATCCTGTTTAGAGGAAGGGTAAAAAGAGCAAACGAAGTAAAATATCTAGGTATAATTTTAGATAGCAAATTTTCTTGGAACCAGCACTTGCAAAAAGTGACCAAAAAATGTAAAATATCTTTATGATACAGAAATAATTTCAGCCATATTTGATTTCCTTAGTCAAATTTTTTACTCAAATCGGTAACTCAGCCTTTCGTTATTTTGAGGCCATCCTCAAATTAATTTGGTTCATTTTATACTACTTTTTATTCTGATTATTACAATTTTAATTATCCCATTATTTATTTTACTAATGTTTCAACTAAATTACAACATCATTAATATCTACATAAAATTACGATAATTACTTTCAAAATTATTAAATTTTGATTACTTATTAATTAAAAACATGTTTTTTAAATTGTTCTATAAATAACCAACTGTGAATTCTACAAATTATGTGTAAAGAATAAAAACAAGAGTATTTTTAAGGTATTTAAAATAAAAGAACTAAATCAATAAATTTGTTAAATGGCATTTTCTATAATTTACAAGCTGTTAATTATTGCAAAATATTTGTTTTACATGAATATTATAATTTATTACCAATTTTAGAATTTATATGAAATCCACTAATCACAGTTCATATTTAGTAAGTACCCTGCTAACTATTCTTTTTAAAATTTTGAAGATTTTCTTTACCTGGTCGCAGAAAAAATATACTATAGAATTTCAGTAATCATATCCATTTTTACTACACAAAAATATAGCCATTGTCGAATATTAAACTATTCTCATTTGCAATTTATATAGCACAAATTTTTTTTTAAATAATTTTTGTTACATTGTTTATTTTGTAGAGCTAGTTCAATATTTACAGCGCCCTCTTATGTTTTACTCGCTTATCCACTATTTTAACTGCATCTATATCGTTGGTTATAAGTAGGGGTAGGTTTTTAGATTTAGTCCAGAACATTGCGGCCTCTCGGGTCTGGTGTAGGCCCTGCTTCCGCCGTATTCAAGTACTATGGTTTTATTAGGTTTCCTACGAAGTGCTCCTGGGGTGCTCTTTCCGAGTCTAGACCGAAAAACGTGGTATGAGGTTTCTTCCTCTTCCATGCATAAAGGTACCATTTGGGTAGGCGCGTTAGGAGACAAGCGACCACTGAGGCGTCCCCAAGGTCGAGTAGGACGACAGATACATAAATGTTACGCTTCGTACATTTCGCAAGCTTGAGAAGTGTCGCGCGACACTTACAAGATAACCACTCGAGGGAACGATCAGCGTTGCCAGACCTACTGTTTTCACGTAGATCCACTGTTTTTGTCTCTAGCAAATTTTGTTCTTAATTTATTAAGTTTGCCTCATTCTTGGTTAAAGAATATTTTCTTTAGTAAATTTTCTGCAGTAAAAGCAGCGTAATAAGCATCCACTACTGTAGGTTGGCTCCATAAAAAAAAACATCAAGATAATCATTGTTTTTATTTAAAATGAAACAAAGAATTAGTAGGGCATCATAAAAAGAACATGCACATTAAAATTTTGAATTATCTGATTCAGACTGATCTAAAAGAAGTAGGTACCTATTATTTTTCATTGTTTCCGTACGTTAAGTATATATGAAAAATGTTTTTTGTGTTTATTCTTTGTTCAACTTCTAATTTGGGTCGAAAAAAGTTTATTTTTCATTTCTATATACTTGTTTTTTTATTTACTACACTGCAAATTTTAATTATTTCCCCCTGTATTAAAATCTACTGTTCAGATCTACGGTTTTTTTTCACCCATACTGTTCCAAAATCTGGCAACACTGCCTAGATCAAAATAGATTTTCAACCTATTCACCTCCAAGCGATGAAGCGATGCTCGAGGACAGTGACCTCGAGTGCGACAGGCAGCAAACCTTTGCCCCGAGTCAGATTCAGAAGTGTCGTCTGACGACACTTCTCGTGTCACGCCGTGTGAAATGTGTTTCATATAATTGTATGTATTTTAGATGTGAAGCGACACTTCTCGGTCGCGTCGGCGGTCGTATGTCACGTCGGTGGTCGTCTGTCGCGCCTACCGAAATGGTACCTTAAGTCTACTCGTGGTGGGATCATTGTGTAATCTCATGACATGATTTTTTCGTTTATAATCCTACAGTGGTGGAACCTTGCGAGCTGTAATACCTCACCAGTCATGCGTGTGTTTGGTATCCTTAGCATGAGTTTACTGATTCTGTGTCCTCTTATCTGTTGCCAGTGATGGTGGTTATCCAAGTATTCAGTGCCTTTTTTTTTCAATGCGAAGGGGAAATCCTTTATGGATACCATTTGCTCTACTCTGTCGCAACATGGTAGTGTGACACTTCATATTGCTTTTTGCAATTCGCCTGACCGCTCCCCAGTTTTCTGTCTTACTTATTATTTGAACTCCTTTTTGTACCGTTAGCGTCTCTCCGATTTCTACTCTTGTCTCATGCATTCAAATCGTTCACATTCGAAGAAGGTATGCTTTTGTGTCTCTCTTTCCCCCACAGTGTATATAGTTTTCGTTTTCTGCTTGTGTCTTCCAGTAGTCGGTGCTACTGTGGTCGCATTCTATCCACTCGATTATTCTCGGGATTAATTCTTTCGTCTACTGGGCTGTCTGCTGGTTTTCATCAAACGCTTGTTGCCAGGCTCTTAGTGTTCTCTGGAGTCTGCTTTTGCTTCTTTTCGTCCGTTTTTCATTTGACAGATGGGCTTTATTCTGGAAACAGCTTGCGCTGCTCTGAACGCTACGTCTTGTAGACTCTCGCCACTCTTAAGGCTATCTTTCTCTTGGTTTTCTCAATTTTGACCATGTATGATTTCACTCTGAGAACTCCTGCTAATAGTGGTGCCCAGTATAGTAAAATTGAATGGACATCTCATCTCGCAGTGTCCTATTGTTGGCTCTCTGAACCTCTGCTTTCTTGAGCACAC